TTGCGTTTCGAGATCGATCACTTTGCTGCGGAATCCAGGTAAGAACCGCCCGCAACTTGGATTCTCGAACTCGTCATCATTATCGTCACGTTCGTTCAGGGACGTAAACAACAACTCCGTCATGCCGTAGCCATTGCGAATGCTTTTTACGCCGATGCGAGCCTTCACAGTGGTTATAATCTGCGAAAAAAAGAGGAAATAAGTTACTTTAAATTTTTTCCATTGTTTTCAAACTGGTTGCACTGAAATCGAATTAATTTTTTAAAATTAGTTTAATTAAATGCGAAGGACTTAATAATTACCAACTGTAAAGTAGTGCTTTAAAAATGTTATACATTAATTTACTTTGTAGTCTTTGTATTCGTACTATTATATTGTCTTTCGAAATCCGTCAAAGGATATTATTTATTTTTAAATCTTATAAGAAAAATGATTTTCAACTGTTACATAGACTTTAGCAGTATAAATTTCAATAATATAAAAATTAACATTTTATATAAGCATTCTTTCTGTCGTTTTCTATGTCTGTTTTGCTCTGCAATTGTATCTCAATCACGCGAGAAACAAAAACAACATCTAACTAGAAAGTGACGTTTAGAAATCATTAAGTTCAGACACGTGTTTGGTTTTTAGAACTTCAAAAGACCCTCGATCTTCTCCCCTTCCCGTCTTTGAAAGATTCTGTCTATCAAGAGATAAGTTTCGCATTTTGCGAAAGGAGCGATTTTTCATCTTGCAAGAATACGATCTTCTATTTTCGTTTCCTCCTAATCTTTCTTAGCGACTTCGTGAACCGGTTAAATAAAAATGAACGCAATAAAATTATTTTCCGGGCCGTGTCTAGTGAAAATGCTACAGAACTTCCTCTCGCAGTCCTTTATACTCACAGCAGCCGCGGCATCGAGAACTCACTTCCGGCACTTAGTCCCGCCGATGGTTACTCTTCTAAGTGTGATAACTTGGTTGAAAGGAATGGAGAAAGAGGGATTGGTAAAGGGGATATACTTCATGATAACATAAGAAAACTTACATTCTTTGCAACTGGCGCCGCTCCGGTGATGAGTTCTCTCACGCTGCGAAAGTCACAACTATCTACCAGTGGATGTTTCGCCAGGAACGTCATGATTGGCGGCACCACCGGCAGATAGGTAATCCTATATTTCTGCACCAGGGTTAGGAAGAGTTGCGGCTCGAAAGTACGCATTATGATCAAGATGCAGTTCCCGAGAAGACCAAGTAACAATATGCCTATCCCGTAAACATGATAAAACGGTAACAGTACCAATATTCTGTCATCGCTTCTCGTATCCATGTATTCGGGTTTACTGCGTTTTTAAATCATATTTGAATTATAGAATCAAATCTTAAATTGCTTTTAAGCGAGAAAATGTCTTTTCGAACGATTGTACATGTAAAGTTTACAAATAAATTATAAAGTTACAATTATAACATTATACATAGTTAAGAAGAATGTGAAAATAATTAGTATGGTACATATTATATTTTATGTTAAAATTTCTTTTTAAACTGAACATTTAACTTCCGCGTTTTTAATCAAATGCATATTGATTTCATTATCATTTAAAAGTGTATTAACTAATAATTAAAAAATATGTGTAAAACTTACCTAAATTTTGTTAAAGCCGTTATTAGATTTTTATGAGACAGTGCCACTCCTTTCGGCAACCCTGTGGTGCCACTCGAACAGAGAATAACCAACGGTTGACGACTGGGATCATCGATAGCTACAGGCTTGTATTTCATGTAGTCTACATCCGGTTCGTTATTTAAGATATTCGTCAACGTACAAACATTTGTTGTGAGTGGTTGATCGTCCAGCTCTATTAAATCCATTTTCCAGGATAATTTCGGTAGTATCTTAGCGAAGAGATTTTCAGTGTGCTGAGATACGAAAACAATACGCGGCTTCGCAATATTTAATATGTGCTGCAATTCATCTAAATGATAAATATTTGAAATCAATTGACATTTAAACTTGGTAGAAAACCGATTAAATTATTATATATATATATATACAGGGTGTCTCGTACTCAATGGTACAGCGCTTGTGGGCAGGTAGTCTGGACCAAACTGAACAAAAAAGTTCTCT